TTTTATATAGCTAAAAAGTATGTGATTTTGGATAGCTTTTATAAAATACGTGTTTTCGAATTTATATATCATGATTTTAGTGTTTATTTGTAAAACATAATATTTTTTTTTCCTGCAAAACATAAAAAAATATAATTGTTTATATTTTTTTTTTCTGACAAAATAAAGCCAAAAAATAAAAATCAGAACTATTCCTCAGTTAATACTTAATATAAAATTATTCATTAGTAAATGATGTTAAATTTTTTTGTAAGTCTGCATTTTAATTTAAAAAACAAATTAACATAGAAAATTGATAAAATCATTTGCTCAAAAAATCTGTGTGGCGCAAAATTGTACATACCTCACCACGTAGTCACGTATATACGCCACAATTTACCATAAATTATAGTTTTAGTCCTTGTGATTTAATCTAAATTACACCAATTGTCCCCCGTCTATATATTAAAATGTACCTTTAGTCTCTATTTTCAAAAATCAACTCGGACACTCCTTCGTATCATTAAAAGATGCATGCTTAATCCCTCGTTAGTTTAACTTTGCACGTTTCATCCCTTCAGAGACATGAAACAACTATAATACCCTTTTCATGCTTCATCCCTCGTTAGTATTTTAACTATTTTTCTATTTTGCTGAAGAACACTTGATCACTACCACTACCAGTAATCTACACCATCATCGGAAAATGGAGCACCACCACTCCTCAACTCACCCCACCCACTCCCTGGTTCGAATCTCACATGTTCCACTGAAAATAACCACCAACCACCACCTCAAACAAATTTTCATTCACCTTTTGTAAAACTTCGACGACCTCCACAACAACATCATCAGAAGTTTGACTAACCTCCAGATTAATCTTCTCAAGATTTTCAAGCAGTTGTTTTGATTTCGGTCTTTCTTTCGACGAAGGATCCACATATGAGTGCATATCTGAATGATAAGGATAAGGTTGGGGAGGAGTGCAGACTCGTTACCCTCGAGCCGTAGTGAAGATTCGCTACCCTCTCGTCGAAAAAACGAGAGGCAGCCATGGTTTGGTGCAACTAGAGTGGTGGTTTCCGGTGTTCGAGTTTCCGATATGGGTTTGAGTTTTAGATCTAAATGTAGATCTGAATGGGTTCGAGATTCAAGAATGTTTTGATTTTCAGATCTAAATGCAGGTTTTGGGTTTTAATATTTGATGTTTGATAATCAGATAGGGTTCATCAATGGTGGAGGTGGTGAAGATTGACGATAATTGGATGTGGTGGAGATTGCTTGTAATTACTAGTGGTTTAGGGTTGTTTGAGCTGGACGATGGTGATATGAAGGAGGGAAAAACAAACGATTTTTGGCTGGTTAGTCTCGCCGGAGAAAGGAGGAGGACAGGTGGTTGTCGGGAGTGGGTGAGAAGTCGAGAGACAAAGAAGGAATTGGGGAAAAGGAAGGGGGTGGAGATTTTCATTTCTTTTTTTAATTCAAAAACTGATAAATATATAATAGAAATTAAAAAAGAAATTGTTAAGGACAAAATAGTATTTTTATGTCCGGAGGGACCAAGCATGCAAGAAACAACAAACCCATGAACAGATTGAGTTAAAATTTGAAAATAATGACTAAACGTGCGTTTTGACATATGCATGATGGACGAATGATGTAATTTACCCACATTTTCAATATAGATTTTAAACATTTTACATAGATCGTCTTTATGGTTTCTAAAAAGTGCATTAGTTGTCCTTCAGACTATTAGAGTCTAATAAGCTTCGTTAACTGACAATATTGCCCATGATTTTTTATATACTTTTATTTTTCTCTTCTTTCTTATTATATTTATATGAAAAAAAACAAGCCTTACCTATAACACCCATGACATCATCACCACCAATCACCCTACCTGTGATCACATTTACTCATGCTACCACTCACCACCAACCACCATCATCACCCCACTACATCACCCACCAATTACCCCACCACTAACCACCATTATTCCCTACTACTGGTCTTTATTTGAAACGAAATAAATCCAAATCTCTTTCTCCTTATTTGATATGTATGCTTAAAACATGAAATCGTCACACATCTTCCTAGTTCCCACATCCTATTTTGTATTCGAAAGCATTCTTATTTATCACCTACAAGATACAAACAATCAACAATTAATTTCAAATGTAAAACACGCAATCACCTTTTTATCACTTGCAAAATACATGTAATTACAAACTCTTTATCACCTATTAATTGGTTTATGTTCTATGTCGGGGTTTTCCATTTTTTGGGATTAGTTTGTCTACAAAACATTGGTATCGTTCATCTAAAGAAAAAGTAGGGATGGAGTGATTCATCCAAATCACAAACCAAGGGGCACGGATTGCAAATCTTATTTCTTTCTTAGTTGTCAAAGAAAATGTTGTTGATAGAGTTCTTCAAGAGAAGTTGTAGTGGTGATGACTATGGTGGTACGTATGGGAACTCTGGTTACGGTAATGCTAGTGTCTCGTGATAGAGTTCTTCCAATTATAGCATTCTGTAGTTATGTGTAGCTCATGTTTGTTATAGTTGTATACTTGTATGTGTTTTCACTTGTTGGATTTTGTAGGGTGTTTATATTTGGATTTAGTATGGTGTTTATATTTCTTTATAATTATTTAATTATTTTATAAAACAGAAGTATTGAATTTAGCAAAAAAATAATATAGAAGGGTAAAATGGTCATTTTCATTATTCAGCAAAGCAATTCAGAGATTCGAACCAAACAGCTTGTAAAAAATTCAGATCTTAAAAATTAAGATCCTCTTAGAAATTCAGACATCTTAAAGTTTCAGATCTTAAAAATTCAGATCCTGCCAAACAGCCCCTAAAAGTATGAGAGAATTATAACAGGTTGGAGAACAAGTGAGAATGTAAGGAAAGAAGGGTCATGATGGATGCCTACCATAGTGTAGAAGAGGTAATGTGTAGGGGGGGGGGGGGGGGGGGGGGGGGTGGGGCGAAAACCGATGAGAGGGTGAATGGAAACGAGGAGGAGGGGGGGGGGGAGAGGTTGGGTTGAAAGCTTTTAGGCTTTTTAGGTTTTTTTTTTTTTTTTTTTTTTTAATATTTTATACAAATGGTCTCTCAAGTTTTAAAAATGACAAAAAAAATTAAAAAATTAGAAAAGGATAAAAAAAATTGCATTTTCATCATTTTACACCTATTTAATGGAGCCATATTGATGATAACTGTCTTGTCTAGGACCATACATGCAACTTTTGGAAACCATAAAAATGAGCCATGCAAAAATTGAAAAGTTAGACTAAAACAGAATATGAATATAAATGATAGGGACCAAAAATGTAATTTACTCATATTTATGTTACTAGACTTGTGAATTGTGATTGCACTTTGTAAAATACTTGCTTCCAATCCTTAACATTTTTATATCCAAAGAAATTGTTCAAATCTTTACAATATAATATTACTATTTGACATATTCGATTTAGTCAATGTATACATACATAAATACATAATTACATATAAACTAAGAGTGTTTGGGATTTGGGAAAGCTTAAAAAAGGAAAAGAAAAAAAATCAAACTTAAACCTTCCATTGAAGAATAAAAAAGAGGTAAGCTTTGTCAACCTTATCATATAACAGGTAACTCGTGAAAAAACAACATTTAAGTAAATATAGCATTTTGACATCTAGACCTTTTGGTTAAGATTCTTTACTTCAACCATTGGGTCTAGTTCTATTGTAGGACCCACTCAAGAAATTGATACCACTAAAAACAATGTAACAGCAAGGATTCAACACATGAAATAAAAGCAATCGTATCCATATTTGGTGAGGGGGTTAATGTAGATCATGTCACTTGCTAACCAACCAATAAAGCAACACCAAACCCTTTTCAGTTTTCAACGTATGTGAATAGAGAAAGTGTAAGACCACACCTTGTTTGTTCATTTCATGAATAGTCAATATTCATCTACATGAATGGGACCCGCTAAGATACTTACATGTTACATGCTTCTTTCTATAGCCATGTTAAATCTTATCTCTCTACGTTGTCAGAGTAACTATCAACTATTAAGTATTGATGTTTTAAATGATAAATTAGCAAGAAAAATATATTAAAATGAGTCTTCAACATTTAAGACTAAAGCATTACACGTGATCATTCACAACTGGTCTAAATATTTCAATCCTCTATATATGTTGTAATATGTCCTCGATGATATTATTGGTGTAAGCATAATAAACAAATCAATAAAAGTCCATTAGAAGATTAAAGGGAGAATGCCTTATTAGAGGTGTTTGCATGAGTGCCCTGCAGTCATGCAATTTAAGAACTATATATTTAACAAAACAAAATTATATGGTTCGATTAAAATAACATTCCAACTTATCATTTTACCATTTTCAGTACCTCAACCATTAAGCTTTTGTAAGGGTTATAATGTCTAATATAAAAACCCTATTAATAACCGTCAGAAATAAATGAGAAAATCGCACACACATATTATTTAACTTTGTTCGGTCAATATGACCTACGTCTATAGAGCAGAAGAAAGTATCTGTATTCACTAGCTTGAATACGATAGTACTATACAATTGAAACCTTAGCTACAAAACACAAACATAAACCCTAACTAGAACATTGTGTGGTCCAGATACTCCAAATACTTGTCCCGCTGTACATCGGTGTCGGGTTTATTTCGGATCTTCGGTTCTTAATTCACGTTTAACAAGAACAATACAAATAAGGCATATGAATATATTTTACAATATATGCATTAAACTTGATTATAAACTGAATTACAAAAGACAAACATCTTTCTTATATATATCAGCAACAAATAAGAAATATAAATTATTACACTTAATCCATCACAGGAATCAGATTTCATCTTCCATGCAATACTCCAATATGACATTCATTTGTATACGCGACTGAACCTATAAATTTGAACATAATCACTGTAAAAATATCATGTTTTAACATTAATTTGACATATTATTACTATTCAGACTTTTTAATCTGAATTCCCAAAAACCAATTTTACTACCCAAATTTTCAATGGGTATTTGTTTATGGAATCATTCCATGGGTTATCGAACTCCGATTCCGAATCCTTTATCCATTTCCAGACTAAGCTTCCCACCTTGAACCCGGTTCCAAACGCTATCATCCACATTTTATCTCCCTTTTTTACCCTTCCTTTGGCTTCAAAATAAGCCAACTCGTAAAACACTAGGCTACTCGAAGTATTCCCGAACCGGTTCAAAGTCATCCTGGCCGGTTCAGTCACTGAGTCACTGAATTTCATGACTCGTCCAACTTGCTCGATAACTGCTTTCCCGCCTGTATGCACACAGATATGCTCGAACGCAGCCGTAAAGTCCGGCATCACAGGCTTATACTGCCCGCCGGAGAGAGTCGTCGCCACCACCGAGTACACATAAGTCACGAGCTGATTCAGAGGCAGAACCCTTGGGGCGAGGATTTTGATGTGTTCCCGGAGGTTTACGCCGGCGACTCGTATTAAATCTTTGGTGAGAGAAATTCCGGTGACGCCTTTGACGTCTTCCTCTTGGAAAGCAGCATGATAGGCGGAGTCGTCGGCCCCGTGGTGGGTTCTGAGAGAGTGGGTAAGCTCCATTTTCGCCGATGAACGGCGGGATGGGTCGTTGGTAATCATCACCGCCGCACAGCCAACGCGAAAGATGCAGTTGGTTACCAACATCGATCTTTCTTCACCTTCGTACCAGTTTAGCGTAATATTCTCGGTAATAACAACCAGAACATTCTTGATTTTCCGGCCACCCCCACGTAAGATTTGGGCAGCTAAATCAATAGAAATAACGCCGGAGCTACACCCCATTCCGCTAAGATTATATGTTTTCACATCGGGTTTGAGTTTGTAGTGATTCATAATAAGAGAGGAAAGAGAAGGGGAGGGTGAAAAACATCCACAGGTAACGATCACCGCGTCGATTTCCTCCGGCTGTATTTGGGTTTTTGATAAGAGGGAATCGACGGCAGAGAATATCCCTTCCTTCGCCTCCTCTATGGCGCTTTTCATCGTCGGAATTTGATTTTCTTCAAACATAAACGGCGGTGCATATGTGTCGTTTCCTAACCCGGATTTCGAGTATATATTACGCATGAATTCGATCGGCTCCGGCGAACTGAAGCGTGCAGCGTGGAGTATAAAATCATTTGCCATATTATAAGTACATTTCCGGTGCGATGGCGGTTGGTAGCAGGAATAGTTAAGGAGGAAGACGGGGGTAAGGGCGGGAGCGAAGATGGAGGAGGAGGAGGAAACCGGCGGATAGAGATATGATGGTGGTTAAGAGAAGGTGGGTGGAGAGAAAGTGCAGGACTGCGGTAGTGATAGGTTGGCGGTATAAAGCGGCAGTGGCGTGGAGGAGGAAGGTGGAACATAAGAGTGCAAAGAAGATGATTTGGAGGCGACGGTGGATGGGCAAGGAGGCGAACTCCATCTTACTAGCAAATGGTATAGGGCTTCAAGCAGCATGTACTACATACAAATTACTTGCATGATTTTAAAGATTTTAGGGGGAACGTATTGGAATTTATAGAAAAAGATGGTAGGCTTTTGCGTGCGAACGTGAAATTACAAATTTGACGATTATTATAAGTTGATTATATCAAGTAAATTTCACTAATAGTTCCTATAGCATGGCCAAATCTGCCTATTTTATCCCTAACATTTGTTTTTTATTCGGACCATTCTATAGGTTGATTATATTTCAATTTGATTCCTACTCGAGTTAAAAAAAACTATTTTATCCTTAATTATATTTTTGATTATTTTTTTAATTGTTTGTAACTTTGTATACGATTAAATAAGAATGGAACTAGACCCATATCCTTCTTTATCGTCAACCTTCCCTTCAAGACTCATTTTTCCTTTTTCCATATCTACAATCGTCTCTACCATTTCCCCTATTATCGTTCTCCTCCATCCTTTCCCTTTATTTCGGGTTGGCTCCACCACATACACAAATTTATATAAACCTCTCATGTAACCTTCTTCTTCTTCTGTCGATCATACTCATCTGTATGTATACATATACGTTTATGTATTAAGAAAACACCCACTCATTGATCAATTTAAATAATTTAGTCTATATTATTGTCAAAGGTTGTTATAACTTTCCATACACTGTACCTTAATTTCCTCTTGTAATTATGATAGGTTGTGTATATTTTTTTAGGCATCTCAATGATAATTAATCAATTCAGCCAAATTATCTTTAGCTCGTATATGGTATCAAAGCTTAACATCATCGATCCAAACCCTAAAAATCTCCCATCTTCATGTTCATCATCTGTCAACCTACAATCCTTTTTGCATGTCATCTTCGAAAACCCTTGTCCATATTAACGCCACTAGCCATTTCCCCATCAAGCTAAACACTCCTAACTTTCCAGTATGGCGAAAACAGATTCAGACTACTCTTATTGGACTCTAACTTGACGATTTTATCACCGGAACAACAAGGCCTCCATTGCAAGAAATCGTAGATAAGAATGTGATGAAACCAAACCCAAACTACCTGGTATAGACAAGACCAAATTGTCTTTAGTGCTCTCCTCGGGTCCTGTTCTGATGTTATCCAAACCAACAACCGCATTTGCTTCTATTGCCCAGGAGGCTTGGGATCGGCTCACAATAAGTAATGCAAGCACCTCTAGATCCAGAATTATCTCCTTAATATCCAAACTTGGAATAAAAAAAACCCGTGTAATCGACCTGTTGCTGACTTCTTGCATGATATGCGCTCTATTATTGTAACACCCGCAAATTACGGCTAGTCAAATTGACTATTATAAGCGTTAAAATTGACTTTCTGATAGAAGATTATTTATGATAAATAATCTTAACCAAAGTTATAGTATATGTGACAAAGATTCTGCACATATAAGAACACCCAAATCTGACTTCTTGGGAGGAAGTTGTGATTTTTCTAATATTTCAGCGTAGCAATATATGGCTCAGAAACCGAAATTGGAATCAGTTGATTCTTTGGAAAAAAATCTAAACGAGAGTTGAGGATCTCGTCAATAACTATCCGTCGATATAAAGACAATCGAGAACGGATGTCATATAAGAGAGTTATGAATTTTTAACGGACTTTAACAGCCTAAGCCTGTTAAAAATATAACTTTAAAAATAAAATTAAAACTAGCCGACAAAGTCTAAATGAAAATTGTAGATCTCGTCGATAACTATGCGTGGATATAAAGTTCGTCGAAAAAACGAAGCTCATATGAAGAAGATATGGACGTTCTAGGGAACATAAATTCTTCGCGCGCACCCGCACACAACGACAAAGTGCACCACACGCACTGACACTCCACCTAGCATGCGATACGTGGCACCCTGCAGAAAGTGACATGTCACTCTCTTCCGACCAGATGCGCGGCGTGCACCTTATCTATGTGCGACGTGCAATCCAAATTCAACTATAAATAGGAGTGGAAATTCAGTTTATTCCCACACCCTTCAAACATTTCTCTCTCGATTTATCTAAGTTCTAAGCCCTTTATCCCTTAAGTTTTTAGTCGGCGAAGACCTGGGGTATCTGATAGCTGGCAATTAGGAGCTCTTGAGTCAGAGTTCTTCCCGCTTAAATTCTCAGCTTTCATCAGTATACTATGTATGTTAAGTTACACTTATTTTATTCAAGTGTAACTTTTAATTATAGTCATATTCGTTATTATGAACCCATAATTAAGATTTATCAGTAATTCTAAGTCATTATACTGATTGATCTACTTACGGAGATGATGTCTAGGCTGGATTTAGTGAGGTGTTTAAAGTGAGATTTTCAAACAGTATACTCTGTATACTAAACAGAACCTAGCTCTGATATGATCTTACATGGTTGTTCCTTACTTGATAGATCTTGATGTAGACATTGGGATTAGTAAGAAATCTATACTATCATCAGTCGGCAGGAGTATTAGACTAAACTTAGTGACATTCGTAACTAGGTCACGTCAGAAGAAAAGTCAAGAAGTTTGGCGGAGCGCTGCCGAATTCTCCAGTCATTCACCTAAGTCAAGTGAGTGCATAGTTACTTTCAAACTTACACATAGTGTAACATCCGGATTTCCAGGCATGACAATTTGAGTATTTCTTCTTGAGTTATGAGGAGTGACTCGACGAGTTGACGCCTCAACTCGTCGAGTAGAATCGTGACTCGGTGACCAGTTTAATGAAGGGACTCGACGAGTCGGGTATCTGACTCGCCGAGTCAGCGCTATTAAGGAAAACCCTAATTGTCCGGGTTTGGGACCTATTTAAGAGACCTTATGGCCCTCATTTGCGGCCACCTTCACCCTTGAGAGCACCATAGCACCTGAGAGCGTTGTGAGAGAGAGAGGAAGCCATTTTCATCATTCTAAGTGTGATTTTGCAAGAAAGAAGGAAGGAGGGCAAGCAAGGAAGATTGAGGAGCTCAGATCTACCACCAATTGATCAGAAGAGGCTGCTGAAGGTATAAATCTGTGATCAATCTTGTGTATTTGGTGATCTACTTGAATCTAGGGTTTTCTTATGCCTTCTTTAGCTTGGATTCGAAGTATATGAGGTCCCAAGGTGGAGTTCTTCTTAGATCTGGACCTTAAGAGGTCCAGAGAGTCCTATCTATCATGCTTTATGCTATTCATTAGAGATATGAACCTAGGTTGCCATTTTAGAGGCTATTTCACCAAAAGAAGCATTATGGACGTGGCATGAGTGTAAAGGTCGGACCTTTACATGATTATTGAGTATGGTAGGGTCAGATCTATTAGTTAGAGAAGCAGATCTGACCTCAGAAGGTCATTTGAGTATGTCTATGGAAGGAACTCGCCAAGTCCATAGGGAACTCGACGAGTCGAGTCGGGGTTGCCCCGCGATTCATGACCAGAGGTAACCCGTCGAGTGGAAGGTTCACTCGACGAGTCGAGTAAAGACTTAGAAGGATTCGGAGGACACGCTTGGACTCGCCAAGTCACCCGAGTGCACTCGACGAGTCGGGTCAAAGTTTGACTGTTGACTGGAGTTGACTTCAGTTGACCTTAGGGTTTTGGTCAAGCTGGTTCATGAGAGATCAGGGAGGGGTAGAATGGTCTTCTACCCATCCTTTAGAAGTAAGGACATGAGAAGGTATTGATTAGAAATGTTATTATGTTAACAGGAGGAGGCTAGGTCGGGTTATCAAGCAAGAGAGATTATCCGACATCGTACGAGGTGAGTCTTCTCACTATGCTTTACCTAGAGTGGTAATTATGTGTGACCGGAAGGTCTTATATGATATGCAGAATATGTGATATATGTGATATGTATGTGCTATGTTATGTTATGAGTAGTATGGTATGGACCGGAAGGTCATTATGATATGGACCAGAAGGTCAACAGTGTATGGACCGGAAGGTCAAGATGATGAGGACCGGAAGGTCATTACGGGTAGAACCGGAAGGTCTACCAGGGTTGGGACGGAAGTCCCCTGAGACACATGGACCGGAAGGTCCCATAGAGCTATGGCCTTGAGTGGCGTATGTGTTGTATGTGGTATTTGGGGAACTCACTAAGCATTTATGCTTACTGTGTTATGTGATATGTGTTTCAGGTACTAGCGAGGATCGCGTGAAGGCGCCGGCATGATCTGTACACACTGATGGAGTTTTTATGTATTTGGGATCTTGGGATTGTTTCATTTTGGATGACATGGGTTACATTGGATTTTATTATTTCTTATGAATGAAACTATGTATTAAAAATGAAAAATTGTTTTGAAAATTTACGTTGTTACAAGTTGGTATCAGAGCCTTGGTTTGAGGGATTCGGATGCACCTTCGGGTGTATTTGAACTCAAACTGAGGATTTGAGAAAGTTTTTCATAAAAAGGATCAATTTTTCTAAAAAGTAAAGGAAATTGAGGAAAGCGGAAAGAAGCAGTGTGTACGATCAGCCAACGCCCGAACGGTGATTTCCCAAAATACCCTTACATTATGTGTTATGAGATATGATATGATATGTTATGCATGCTAGGGTAGGCTAGGTATTCATATTAGGACTAGAGTGGCATGATTTGTGATGCCTTAGCCTAGGGGATTACTGCTGCTATGTGATGCTTCGAGAGTGAGTAGGTAGCAGTGAGGAGCTTATGAGAGGCATACCGAAGGGTAGCCTGTGCTTAGCGAGAAGTAGAGTACTTGTGATCTGGGATCCTAGGAGGAGGACTTGGGGTGAATACTGATGTGGTGTGGACAGTAGTATAGGGCCCGTACTACTAAAAACACCGGATCATTGAGCAGTCCAAGTAAGAATCCTTAGGGTACCAGGGAACAAGTAGGGTTGGGTGACCGAGTACGAGTATACTCGATCGAGTCTCTGGTATCTTTGTGTTGTGTTTCAGAGACAGCAT